ACTCTGGGTCATCCTCTGGAATGAGGGCTGGTTCGCCTGAGGGGTCTGGCTGAGTAACGCCGAATCGAACGTTACGTTGGTCTTCCGTCTCGATGGACGGGCGGATAGTTGCAGCACTATTCGAAGCGGTGCTGTGGAACGAAGAAGTCGAATGGTCCCGCTGGGCCGAATGTTGGAGTATGGTGTCATGACTCCTAGTAGGACTCTGCGTAGGGAGTCGAACTGTTGGCTGGTCTTCGTACAACGTTGTATCAACGGTAACCGTTTGAGCGTCTTCGTCCGTAGAAATAATGTCGACGGGGGCCTTTTCTTTTCCTTTGGCCGACTTCCTGGCTCGAGAGCGCGAAGTGGTCCTAATAAGTGGATCGGTATCTATAGTTTGGTAAAAGGGAAAGTAAAGCTTGTCGAACGATAATAAGTAAAATATGAGGATATACTCTTGGGGTACTATTCTCCGGCCGTACGTGCCGTAGGTGCCTACTGTTCTGAAGGCTGTAGCGGGCCTCTGCTGGTGGGATATTCTTTGGAGTGCCTTCCCAGGCAGGAGGGGTTTGGTGACCTTTAGATAATGTGACAGCACGGTGGGAAGCTTAGTACGTAGACGAAGAATCGATTCGGCTATCTCTTAGAATCTAAAGGTAAGGAAAGAAGAAGAGGATGGGAGCGCCAGAGCTTATATACACTAGAGTGAAACATACTTGAGCTCTAAGCCTGATTCGTCCCCAGGGATGATCATGTGATCTCTGGCTATGTGATCCAGGTAATCCGTGACATTACCCCCCCCTTTCGAAGAACGACGCCCTCGTCGTTTGGTCTATTTCCCTATCGTCATCCAAGTCATCATAATTGTCACGTCCTTCGTCGTACGCTTTCTGCCAGGCACGGAGTGACCTAGGGGGGCCACTTTGCTCTGGGTTATCGAGGTGGTACGCTGTTAGTTTGGCTGGAGCGTACTTAAAGTCAGACGCAGGATACCAATCCAAGTCGTCGTCCATATTGAGCCACTTGACCCTGTATTAAAGCTTCTTCCAGCGGAGCCTCGAAGCTATGATCTTGTCAACTTCCCATTCAATATCTCTAGTTATATTGACTTCAGGCGGGGGATCCTCTTGCTGACCGAGCAAAGGGTCGTTTGGATCACGCCGTAGCTTGTCTGCAGAGAAGACTAGATGAATTTTCATGGTAGCAAGCAAGTCTAGTCTGTACGAGTGTCCTCTTTTTTCCAGGATCTCGAATAGGCCTGCTCTAGGATTATCGAGCTTACGACTAGGGCGGTGTGTGTTGTATTGTGTGACAATCACATAAGCTTTATCGCCTACTTCCCAATCGACAGCTCTTCTCTTGGCATTGCTATGTTGTTTCATGCGTGCTTGCGCTGCTTCCATACTTTTGCGAGCTAGCTTAATAGCTTCGTCCATACGGTGTGCCAATGCCTAGGCTTTCTCTTTGCTTAGCTTAGTGCTAAGAGTATCTCCTCTATCAACTCGGGAGTTCCAATCGAAGTGTAGTACTAGGGCCGTCCCATATATCACTTCGTGGGGAGACATTCCGATACTAGCTTGTGGTAAGCTAAGTTAAGCGTAGTCCATCATAGGCAACATATCCGACCAGTCGTCTTGGTAGTATAAAACGAACGGGCGTAAACGGTGCAAGAGCACTTAGTTATAATTCTCAGTTTGTCCGTCTGTTTGGGGGTGGTAACCAGTGGACAAGCTATGCTTAATTCCCATAATTTGGCATAGTCTTTGCCAAAAAGCAGAGATGAATTGAGGGCCGCGATCACTTACAATCTCTTAAGGAGGTCCGTAATACCGGA